GTGAAATGAGATCATGTATAAATCAAGATAATTAGAAATTTATGTTTGCTACTGACATACCTATTAACATAAATGAATTATCAAAAAATATTCAACCTGGATGTGATTCTTGTAAACTGTCTTGGTATGATTTTAGTATATGTCTCTACCATTCATATACTGATGAAAAACAAAAAATCGAATCACAAGGAATGCCATATGGTGTGAAAAGAGTAGATGAAAAAGAAGGTTTGATAATTTATTGTTGTGATAAAGAAACTGTAACCAATAATAAAGGACAAGAAAGTATCATCATCAGATATCAACTAAATGTTATCTGGGTTTTAACTATAACATTGGATCCAGCTATAATAAAAAAAAATATAGAAAATAGTTTAAGATTACCGGAAATAGAATACAATAATGATATCATATTTTTTGGTTCAAAACCTAAATTCTCTACACATTCTAGACCTTTTCTCATCATTAATAAAGTCATTCCTATCATGGCTTATGAAACTAACATGGACAGTGTATCAAATCTTAAGCAAGCTAGTAGATCTGCTTTGAAACAATTAGTGGATACTGTCAGAGCAGCAATTGAAAATCCTGAAAGTTTTAATGATAATACTGATAATGAAACTGTATTCAGTAATGATGAAAATTCAATAAAAATTTAATTATAAATAGATTCACTATTCAAAAAAATCGATAATGAATTTTTTAATCGATTGTAAAGATATCTTAACATATTATAACAAAAAAATAAATGAAAAAACAAAAATCCTAGATTTACAACCTAAAAGCGAATTATTCAATCAAATACAAAAAGATGACAGATTGGGACCTTGGCAAATCAAAGAATTGAATAACACAATAAAACAAAAAGGAAATAAATTGATCGAAAAATTTATCTTACATATAAAAAATGAAAAAAATTAAAATAAAATCGATAGATATATCAAATCATTGAAAAAGATTGATAAATTTTTCATAAATGATAAAGATGAATTTGAAAAAAAACTTGATCTCTTACAAAAAAAAATAAAAATAGTGAATGATTCTAACATAAATCCAGATATCTTGAATAATAATATTTCTATCATCTTTCTTGATAAAAAAAAAAATTCTATCAAATTAAAATCTGTAAATTTTATGTTTGACTTATCAACTAGAAATATTATAAAATTAATACTAAATAGATATAAAAAAATCGTTGAAACAAACATTAAAATAATCACT